AGAGAGAGAGAGAGAGAGAGAGAGAGAGAGAGAGAGAGAGAGAGAGAGAAGAAGAAGAAGAAGAAGAAGAAGAAGAAGAAGAAGAAGAAGAAGAAGAAGAAGAAGAAATGTATTGCTTACGCGTGAGTTGCCTCGGGCTGGGGAATGGGCGAGGGGAGTGCTGGTTGTGGTGTGAGTGTGCGTGCGTGCGGGTTAAGACTAGCGTTGATGGATGAACATACCGTCTGCCATGTTTGGAAGCAGTGCAGTGGGAGCAAGTGGTGGAGAAGGTGAGGGCTGGGTGGTGTGGTGTAGGCGGTAGGCGTGCTAGGCTAGCGGCAACGGGCGGGTAGGTGGGGAGTTTAGTGGTTGTGATGATGCAATGCCCGGCTAACCATACTTTCTTCAACCCCGACAACTCACCACGACCATTCTTTGGCCGTGCAAAAGCAAGCAACCCTGCCTGTCGCCTGTAATGCTGCACTTGATTTTTGGCCCCTTTGCTCTCTCTTCAGACACACATCGGGCGGCCAGCTGTCCGTGAACGGGGGGTGAGGGGCTCTTGGATGCATCCTCGATGACATCTGAGCGTCCACATGCGACAGTAGAAGCTCTGGGGCGCATTCATAAGTCCTCGCTCGCCCCCCCACCCAGCGGTTCAAGATCAGGATTCCTTTCGCTCTGCCCTGTCCATCTCTCCATGCTGGTCTTTCAGCTCGTTGTGTAATATCTGCCTGTACTATACTTATTTAGCTGAGCACGCGCGCACTGGCCCCGTGCGCCTGAGGCTGAAACCGCCTCGCACCGGCGCTGAAACGCGTGCCGTGGATTCATTTGGCCTACCTTGGCTTGCCCTGATTCGTCCCCGCCGCCTCACCCGCTTAACCCGCCTAACCCGCCTCTGGATTATTGTTAGAGAGCGCATCGCTGCCATCGAACCATTCCATCTGTCGACGAGACAGAGCATTGGGGCGCGTCCGTCGGCGCTTTCAAGACAACGCTTCTGCTGCTGCTGCTATTGCCATTGTCTTGCGCACAGTGAGCCGCTATTTTTACATTACGGCACCGACCTGATCGCCCTCCTTCATTTACCAAGATTGCGCCGACGAAGAATAGTAGGGCACCGCCACCCACTTGAACCTGCTCCTTTCCATTCATCCTAGATTCAATATCAACACGCTCAACCTTCCAGTCATCCAATCCTGACCTGCCACATCTTCAATTGGTATGTACTGCAATCTCTGCGCATGCTCTTTCTTTTCTTCCCCCATCCCTCCCTCACCCACCAGCCTTGTGCCATCATGTCTACTTCTGGTCCTCATTCCGGAAGCACTGGACCAGTCAGCCACCCAATTTGCCACTTCTGTGACCTCGGCCACCTCTTCCAAGACGCGTCAACCCTACAGGCCCGTTCGTCGTCATCCCATTCTCCGCATCTTTTTATGATCGACAGGCCATGCCGTTCGCCTATCTCCCGCACTCACTAGAACAACGCCCACCGGATCCAGCCCTGCCAAGACGTCCGCACCGGTCGCTCTCATACGTATTACTACTTTGACTCGCTTGCCACAAAGTTTAAATATAACATTACACCATGTAAACCTATCATACTACAACGGCACGCAAATGACGGCCCTGTGTTCTGACGCGTACTCGGACTAGCGTTGCATAAGGCTAATAAATGTTTCATGCAGGCATCATCACAATGTGGAAACGATTACAGGGTCACGTCCGCGAGAAAGAAAAGCATACGCAAATAGGCAACCCCGTACTACTTGAAACCACTTATGACCAGGATCAACTCCACCGTAATCCAAATGTTACCAGCCTCCACAGTCCCGAGCAACAAAACTATGTGCTCCCCCCGCTAGATTCACTGTACGTCCAGCTATCGCTTCATCCTAATCCAGTGCTAATCAGCCTTGCCCTAGCTCCAAATCCTCATACAACCCTACCATCACTACGGCTTCTGGAGCGCCAATCCTCCCTCCAGTCCAAAGACTGTCGGCAGTGCCGACTATCCCTTCGGTCTATTCGCGGGCCTCGATTGAAAACTACTATTACAGTAATCCTGCAGCCACACTACGGTCCAACTACGACGATCTATCCCCGCCAAGTTCACCAGAGTCCGAAGAGTTCCTCCCGTCTTTTGATCCGCCTCAGTCTATCCGTGACATATCCCTCCGCAACTTTTCCTCAATGGACGACAACCAACGCAAAGTGCAAGATGAGCCGCGCGACGTCAAGGCAATTCCCGTGTTGCGTAGAGCACCTTCCGTCATCCGAACTGGCGATGTGCAGTCTGGCCCCAAGCAAAAATTCTGGGAAGGCAAGCTTGCGCCAAACAGCAAAGTAAAATGGGATGAGTACTCGGGCGAGCCCAACAGTGCAGGAAAGGCCGCGTCAGTTGATCCGCACAGCTATGCGGTAGGCGTGCCTTCTGCCGGTCTGAAGCCCATGGGCTACCAAGTTTCGGTATCCGCGGCTGGCCCTGAGAAGAAGAGCCTTAGTTTTGGAGAGCGCCTTAGCCGTTTCGGCTCGAAGCGTTCGCCACCAGCAGTCAAAAACCAAGCTGGAGAAAAGTCATTGCAAATACCACGAGCGACTACATCACCGAGCTCGGACCAAGTCAGATCAAACACGCTTACCGTTGCCGTCGATTCAGCACCCACGCTTGCTGATACTCGACCCGTCGCAGCCGAAACCGCCAACTACGAGGTGCATGAAGAAATCATTAAACCTGTCGTGCCCCTAAAAGTAGGAAAGAAGTCGCCTGCAGGAAGCAATCTCACTTCTCCAACGTCTCCCACAGCCCACGGCCTTGGTATTAGTGCATTTGCTTACCCAAGCCCTGTCACGCCCAAAGGCCGCGACGGTCAGAAACAGTCCCCGGCCATTGTAATTGAGACTGAACTACCTATCCATCCGGCTTACCGGACAGCAACCCCACCAGAGACAGACAAGCGACCCATCGCCAGCCAATTCTCCTGGACCACATATAGCCAGTCTATAACGTCCGACCAACACTCGCCGCCACCTTCACCCCCACTCTCTACCTCGTCCTCAGTGCTCCTGCGCCGCCGGCCCGTTCCCCACTCCGACCGCATCCCAGACTCGCGCCCCAACGCCTCAAGAATGCTGTCCCCCTCCAACGTCTCCACCTTCTCCACCGCAAGCGGCATATCCAACACATCTAAAGCGCTACCGCACCCACCTACTGCTCTCTGCGCCCTCGACCACATTGCGCTTCTAGAATCCCAACAAGAAGACCTTCGCATCCGCCGCAACAATGTCTACCGCCTCCTCACTGACCTCAACAATGCCGCGCCTCCGAACCCGCTCTTGACGGATTTTAAGAAGGCGAAGGTTGTGGAGCATAGGAAGAAGGCATTTGAGGTGGAGCTTGATGATATCAGGCGCGAAGAACATGATGTCGGACTCAAGTTGCATCGCGCGTGGAAGAAGAGGGAGCAGGATGATCCTAATGCCGCGGGGAGTGCACTTTGGGTTAGGAGAGTAACAAGCTAAGGGTTTTCTTTCATATGTTTTATGGTGCAACATGGACATGGATATGTCTATTTCACTTCTTTCTCTTACTCATCATGTTTCCTATTCTCTTTTCTCTAGGGGTTCAACTGCTTAAATGCAGTCTGCTTTTCTTTTTCATCTCCACGGGCGTTTCCCATGTGGCACACTAGCATTTGCGTGGGGGGACGTAAAGGGCGTATATCTTATGAAGTATAGGCTTCACTACTTTCATATCGTATGATTCGCCTTTTTTCGAATAAACATTGTACTTTGTTTAATCAAATGACATTTCCGTTGTTCTTTCTTCTGACTTATATGATTGAGATTGGGGCTCCGCTACTATGAAAACAAGAAGTTGCAACCCACTTATAGTACAAGAAAGAACTACCCCACAAGACCCATTGGCGCTCTATGGCAGCTTGTCTCTCAGTCGATCGGTGAAAGTGGAAAACCCAGGTCAAGTGGGCTAGCCCACCAAAACGAACAAACTTCACCACAATATCATACTCAAGTGAAGGACGAATATAATAATACTGGTGGTATTGGGCGATCTTATCTCAGACTTTCTCGGTCAACCGAGAGCTTGTAAGCTCTTGGTAAGCCAGCACTGCCAGTGCCCCGCATTCAGGTACCGAGAGCCCCTCCGACATCATCATCCCCACCTCGTGAATGCTTTCCCGGTGACCGCCTGGTCCCTCTCCATCCGTGATCATTCGGCCTATGAGCTTCGTGCAATTAGCAGCGGAGCACAAATAAATATGGGACTAGCAAACATTCCCCACCTTTTAGCCTGCAGCGGACGAGGTCGGATGCTACTGTCTCATGTAATGGCTGACAATTCACCGGCTTCGCTCAAACTATCTTCATGTAAATCTGGCCATGATTTTGTACATTTTCTTTTAGCCTGTCAGACCCGTTTCTGTGACTTCTTCTTTTCTTTTCAGATCCATAACCGCCCTCGTTGCACAATCTAGCAGCCCACGCGCAAAACACCGCCAGCCCACCTCACGCATTCATCTTTCCCAGCGTCCAACAATGTCGTCTTCCAAGAGCGCAGACGAATCGACGGTACCCGTCCTCAAGAACCTCACGATAGAAAACATTACAGAAAACGTGCACCGCATAAACTCGCAATGCAGTGATCCACGGCTCAGATACGTCATGGAGCGACTGGTAACGCATTTGCATGACTTTGCACGCGAGACACGCCTCAGTTTCGACGAATGGATGACAGGAATCCAATTCCTGACACAAGTAGGCCAGATATGTTCTGACGTACGACAAGTATGGATTCCTTTTTTATTGTCTCTTCTACAAAAACCCCCAAGCTAACAACAAAAAACAAAAGGAATTCATCCTCCTTTCCGACATTGTCGGCCTCTCCCTCCTCGTCGACTCAATCGACCACCCCAAACCCCCTTCCTCCACTGAAGGTACGGTCCTTGGTCCCTTCCACACGCACGATGCCCCTTCCTCCGCACCAGGCGCCAAAATCTCGGCCGACCCCTCCGGCACACCTCTGCTTGTCCTCTGCACTGTGAAAACCACATCCGGGGCCCCAATCTCCGGCGTCAAAATCGACGTCTGGGAAACGGATTCCAACGGCAAGTACGATGTGCAATATGAGGACCGCGGCGACAAGGCCGATGGCCGCGCAGTGATTACGAGTGACGATGAGGGTGTGTTTTGGTTCAAAGGGATTGTACCCGTGCCGTATCCGATTCCAAATGATGGGCCTGTAGGCAAGTTGCTGGAGAAATTGGGGAGGCATTGTTGGAGACCGAGTCATATGCATTTCATGTTTGAGAAGAAGGGTTTTGATCATTTGGTTACGTACGTTCATCCCTTTATCCCCATTCTTCCTTTTATTATCACGCTTCGAAGGTCATGGAGCATACGGAAGACATGCAACTGACAATATCAGTGCCTTGTATGTCCGCGGTTCCCCCTACGAAACCACCGACGCCGTCTTTGGTGTCAAGGACTCGCTCATTGTCCCCTTGGACACTGTGACGCCCCAGCAGGCGAAGCAGTATGGTGTAGCTGAGGGAACCAAACTGCTTACGTACGACTTTGTGCTTGTGACGGATGAGGAGACGAAGCAGCTGAGGCATGATGAGGCAGTTAAGGCGATGAAGTCGCTGGGGCGGGAGGGTATGATGATTGTGAATGGATTACCTGTTCCGGAGGTTGATTAGATGTATTTCAAAACTCGTGGAGTATATGGAATTTTGCTGAGGAGCTGGATAGGTATTCCTCAACATTGGGATACTTGGTAGTTATCAAAGAATCTGAAAACATACTTTTATTTTACTTCAAGCCACTCTGATATTGTCGGCTAGTTGTAAGAGTGCAAATGTGCGTTGAGTCTTTAGATCGTCATGATCTAAATTATCAACAAACTATGAACAAAAACCATAAAATATCAGGTCGATGTCTGATATTCCACCAAAAGCCAAAACCTCTCTTTCCCGCGTCTTCCCACATCCCTCATAGGAAGACCTTCCAAAAATCAACTCAGCAAACAAACAAACCCAAACTACCCGTATATCACCAAAAAAATAGATTGCACCTTCTACATCTAGAAAATAAAATACCCACGTATCTCTCTCTCTCCACCATTTACCCAGGAAAACCAACGTACTCCCTCAATTTCCCTACCATACCGCTCCCAACCTCCAACCTCCCACTTCTCCACTTTCCTCACTTTCCCCACAACAGCTACACATTCGACGAATACCTATATCACACACACACACACACACACACACACACACACACACACACACACCCATTGGTGTCTTTAATCCCCCCCCCCTTCCTAACATTCTCAAACTATCAACCATCAAGTTATACATGACAAAGTCTTCTTACCTCCCCCGACTACTTACATCTTGTCTCACAAAAAAAAAACCCCCACTCCCAGTTTCTAGAGTGGAGTGTAATACGGATCGAATACCGATATTTCTGTGAGAAGAGAATGTAGATGCGGAATGTGAGTGCTGGAGGTAGAGTTGGATGTGAATGGGGGGGGATGGAGTGGAGAAGCGTGGTAGGTAGAGTAAATGAGTGTATGTACGCGGTGGGTATAGGGCGATTTTAGAGCTCTAGATGGTAGAGCTCTAGATGGAAAGATAGTCTGGGAGGTGGTAGGGGTAACAAAGTATAGTGGTGATGGTAATATAGAAGTCTAGTTGTACTTCGGGGTCTTGGGGGGTATGTGATTATCGTGGTGCTATTTAAGGGTGGTAGTATGTTATTTGGGATTCCGTACATGGTGTGAGTGATATTTGAGGATGTATGGGGTAGAGAGCCTGGAGGGTCGGAGTATTTGTTTAATCAATGGGGATGATGTATATGGTATATCGGATATGAACAGGTTCGGACAAAGATTTTGGTACTGTCTAAAATGATCTTAGTGTAACAGAGCAGGAACAAAAAAAAAGGTAGCCTCGCCAAGGCTTTGTGAACGAGCCCCCCCTCAGCTGTACAACCGGAGCCCTGCAACCTGTGTATCACCGGCCTCTCACGTCCGCATAGACACATGTTTACATATTAGTTTAGATGCTTAGCTGTGAATAGTCAGTCTTTATAGCTAGAATTTCGTGTGTGCATTTGCTACGCGACTAGCCAGCAATTGCAACAAATCCACCAGAATGACCGTAGCAGTACACATTTACAGAGCAACAATCAGTTTAAATAAATTACCCCATATTATTGTTGAAGCAGATGGCTACTATAACCTCGGGTGCAGTATTTCGCTGCACTTTAGCAACCTGGAGTTTGACTTTTGCCGGTAAATTTGCAATAACACACTGTCGAAACATGACCTGAATAAAAGAAAACAGATGGAGAAAAAAAGAAACCCTCTTATTCATTTCAAAGAAAGCAATTCACTGTCCGTTCAAGCGCTGTTCTTGGGGTTTTCAGGAGAAGCTTTCCACTGCCATATGTCAGCAAGGTTACACGACGTCATGGTGCAATACATGTCGCAGCTGGGAATCGCCTGAAATGGATATAATAAAACATACCTTCTTGCCGAGCTCTTGCTGTTGTTCCTTGAAAGACAAGTCTTTGTACTCGTCGCGATGAGCCTTGACTGGTGTTGTTGGTCAGCAAACCTTAACCCCCTAACAACGCCCGTCTTGCGTGGCAACAAAGCGACAGTCGCGTCTGAACAACGCGATAAAGCGCGTCAAATGGTGTGACACTTACAGTATGCTTGCATCTTGGCCATGGCGTTTCTGGCGTTGTTCTTCTTTCCCGCGCGACCGCCCTTGGGAGCAGTCTTCTTGACGCCGGCGGCGCTTGCCGTCTTTGGTGTCGCCGTCTTGGTAGTGGTGGTTGGAACAGCCATTGTGAGGTAGGTGATGTTAATTGAGATTTATGAAAGACGTAATATGTGTGGATTTGATGAGATCTAGAGGATCAAAAGAAGCTGCGAGTGACAAGTGTTGTCGCTGTTGTTGTTGTTGTTGTTGTTGTTGTTGTGGCAGTGAAGAGGTGGGAAGGTGAAGTGAAGGTTCATTGAGAGCAGGCACGGCCCCGGAACACGCTAAACCAGGCTTAGCTCATCACATACCTACTCTATGATCTCCATAGCCTGTTCTGATACATGCGCCGGCCCTCATGAATGGCCAGATGTGATTGGCGCATATTGTTATCTGAAACCCTTGGTAATATATGCCCCAGACACTTTGGGCACAAGCGAGACACAACGGCACAAGAGCGCATGATTATGCTCGAAGACACGACTCCCATTCCACATGGCGCTTGTCAATAGTTGCTCTCCAACGATACAGACGGCGTCTTGACCTTAAGCGGCCCATCTCCGCTGTCATCTCGAGCGATTCAGGTTTGACATGGCACAACTGCCTGAATCGGTCTTTTGCCGGATCCGCAAATCCACGAGTCGCTATATATATATATATATATATGCAAGGCCTCATTTTGGAGTTTCCAGATACGAGGAATGCCATGCGCTGATTTCCATCTCACAACATAGTTTCAGTATGCGGAATTTCTCTTCATATTTTCCTCAAGAAATGGTGAATCTCTTGAGACAGCGTCAAGATACTTGTACAGCACATGTCCTCTCAAGTCCAACTCTTACACACGGTCTCGCGAACATGACTTAAATTGTGAATGTTCCATTGTAGGTCTGGCTCCAAGTAAACTATGACGACGAATCCTCCGTTGTCTCCTCTGTTATGCGACGGGATCGAGCGTCGTGCGAGTCGGTATTTGTACCCCCTGTATTCAGCACCGGCTTCTCGAAGCCACGGAGACTAAACTTGCGACGGCGACCGCTTGGCCGTTCTGTAAGACTGGGAGCACGGGGCCTGGACTTTCCCCGGGCGCGTCCACCCACGACGGGTATCTCGTGCGCACCGGCGCGGAAGACGTATAAGAGTATGTCGTAGACGAGCAGCACGGCCCACGGGGCAATGGCTATAAGGCCGAGGAAAAGCTAGGGCTAGTGAGAAATCCGGATTGCGGTTACAGGCACACAACAGTACTCACGAATATGCGCGTAATCCACGTCTCCACCACCGCGAAGCTCTCAGGCAGAATTGAGAAAAGACCCATACCGGCACGAGACGGAAGCTTGCACACGCGACTACAAACAAGCAACTGGCGTGCTGAGTGCGCAAGAATAGGAGGTTGCAATAGCAGGATTAATGGGTACGAGGAGGATTGCACGTCCACGGCACCTAGCGACACTCACGAGTATGTATGTCTGTACGTACGTAAGTATGTATAATGATGGGGAAACCTGGCCGAGGGGCTGCGGATAGGTGCCGGGCCACGCCACACGTGTGGAGACAGGCGGGTCGTGGCTGGTGCTCTTTCCCCGGCTGCATCCCGGTAGGAGGGCCAGGATCATCCATCCACCTCTCAACACCCACCACCGGCTCTCTACGCTGGATGCAGCTGACAGAAGACTCAGCCTTAGATGCGCACTTGTATCATCGCTCCACAGCTGGTTGATCGGCTCTCTTGGCACTGCCCTCGCAGAGCCAATAGGCACATGTTTGGCATGCAGTACAACCACCTTCCAGTGGGCGCTGCTCGAGGCTTAGATGCCCCTCCGCTGTGACAGCACTTGAGTCTTACTCATATGCACTGCCCCTTGTCGAGGGCCGTTCTCTATATCATTATTGAATCATTCTCAATCGCATTCTAATTGCAATCGACCCTCGACCGGCGGTAGGCTTCCATGGGACACGTGCGTGGCTCCCTGCGTATGCAAACGGCTGCCTGATTCTGTTTCCTCCCTTTCACTACCAGCCACGAGGCTATGCCTGTCAGACTATAGCGGAGGCTCCCAGATTCTTGACCTCCCTGTGCACCCATCTCGAAGTATCGTATACCATACTTTGCCCACCTTCACAAACTAGGCGGTCGTTCTCACTGCTACAGCCTACTCGACATCCTCGCTGACTCGACGTGATATCCACAATACACTACAATACTGGACCTTTACCGCGAAATAGTTGACGGCCTCCGGCCTGCCGTATCAACATGGACGACCTCTCATTCTTGGACATGTCCGACCAGGGCAACGCAACCCTCAAAGCTGTACTTGCGGTCGGAGAGGTTCGTCTGATTTCGTGTCGCATCTGCCCATACATGTTCCTGGACAGATGCCCATTGCTGTACCACGCATTCGAGTACGGCCTGAATGGTTGTCTTCAGGCCAGTATCGAGGTTCCATCCGCAAATGGGCTTATCTCGCTACTCCGCTACTGTTACACGGGTAGCTACCTCCCACCCACTGCGGATGACGGACCTCCCTTGTTGCTTCCACATGTCGAGGTTTACAAGATGGCCGAAGACTTTGATGTTCCCGAACTGCAGCTCCTCGCCCATGGCAACTTCTCCTGCCAAATTGAATTCGCATGCTGCGTACCCTTCCCGCCACAAGATCTGCTCGAGACCATTCGCTTCGTATACCGGCATTACTCTAGAAACCTAGCGCGCCGACAGCACGACCTTGTTGGTACACTCCTCAACTACATCATCTCAAGGTTCATGTATTACAATCTAGGGGAGGATGCGGACTTTATCGAGCTCGCTGCCGATATTCCAGAGTTTTGTCAAGACCTTTGTTCTACAAATATGGAGCGCAATTTTGAAGACGATTGTAAGTCTAAGACATTTCTGACATAGCTGTTGAAACTGTGCTAACTTCAAAAGGTGCCTTCCACATCATACGGTTGTGTCTCGACACGCTATGCGCCCAATCCTGCATCCGACCCATTCCTACTGCCTCAAAAGACTTGTTATCAGAGACGATTTGTGAGGAAGATACCATCATCTCGGGCGAGTCAGAAAGTGAGGACATGTCCCTTGTTGTTCCCGCTCTTGCATGCGGAACAAACGAGAGAGAGGATACGAGGAACATGATGAACTCCTTTACCACTACTCTTGTCCATCGACCCAAGATTCCACAACCAGACGCAATGGAAGCTGTCGAGACTCTATCTTCCGATGAGGACGAGGATTACACGGTGGTATCGTTGTCTGGTTTACATACTCCTACTACATCCGACGAGCTAATGTCCAGCCCGGAGTTGATTCCTACACCTATTGTCGATATTCTGGCCGCCACCGGCACTGAATATACATCTGATGATGAGTGGACCATAGTCCGATAGGATGTAGCCGTCGCTTGCGCCAGCATATTAAGGGTCACTATTCACAACCAAAAATATTTGCGATTTCCGCTTGGATTGATACACGCGTTATGGGAGTTACGAAGAATAACAAAAGGAAAAAACAGGCGTACTTATGGCACGATGTCATTCGATTTAGCTTCTAGCATATGCAATACTAGGGCTTGGGTCTGGGCGTGTCACTCCTGTCACTGAGCAGTGGGGCCTGGATTACATAATTTAAACACCTGGGTGATGTAACGTGATCTATTGAAGACATGGCGAGATAGTTGTTGTGTAGATCAGCTCTAGCTTTAACAATACACAATGTTGTCATCTTTTACTTTTCATCTTCTTCTTCCCCTGTTACTTTTTTAGATATTCTCCAGGCCATGCTTGGACTGTAATGTTGCCTCTGTTTGAGTTCGTCATCTCTTAACCATGAACAAGAGACAGATGATCCAAATCACATGGCCTTCAGGAAACAGTATCTACCCATGGAAATGAGTGACAACGAGAGCAGCTATCTGATTTTCTCGCACACGAAGCCGAATGTCTAGTTGTGAATAACTTGATGGATTTCTTGATGCCTATGTTCCATGGTTTTGCACTCAGCTATTGTATTTCCCAATTAAAAGCAGACAATCACTCCTCGACCTACAAAATATCAAACAAGAGGAACGATAGTCTTCATGACCAGAATTGAGAATTCAAAATTCAAACAACAGCACCAATCTCAAGAGGTTCGTCGCAAACCCGAGAGACGATCCAACACCCATAACCACTATAACAACAACATGTCCAATGACCACACATCCATTGGACCGCAACAAAATCCTCCAACTCTGGTTACAAAGCCTCCTAGCCTCACAAAATGTCGCCCTCTTTCGCACAAACTCGTATTGCTCAGGCTATAACTACTCACCGTCCCTCCTTAACCCGCCTTAACCCTCACAAACCACAAATTCCCATTCCCAAACAACTAAACACCATCCTCGTCCTCACCACCACAACCATCCTCCAACCAAACCACCAAACCACTCTCCCTTCCAAACGAGCTCACCATCCCCATTCAAATCAAAACCCAAACCACAAAAATGCCTTTCCGCACCCCCCAACCAATCTCCAAACCACCAAAATGTCCTTCCACACCCAGACCCCAACCCACTCAACCCCAAATCCCCTCACCCCCACACTACACCCTCACACCCACACCCCCCTCCTTCGCCACCTTAGCCGCCCGCCTAGCCTACACATCCGAACCCCGCTTCCTCCCCAACGGCGAACTCACACGCCCAGACCCCATGCCTGGCTACATCCCTCTACACCACGACGACCGACTGCCACTACATCCACGGCCTGCTAGTCTTTTATCCTGGAAACCGGTGCGGAGGAGCGAGCGGAGGCGGGAAGACAAGGATACGTCATCGACGACAACGACAACGCAAGGGCGGATCGAAAAAAAGAAAGGGGAGGCAAAAGTAAGAGCGGGGTTGAGGCAGATGGAGTTAGCTATGCGGCTGAAGAGTGAGCCTGGTCAGGGACAGAAGATGCATGAGGGGTGGCATCCGTGTGAGCATACTGCCGCGGCTGAGAGGGAGCAGCAACAGCGGGTGCAACAAAGGGATTCGGAGGGGAATAATGGGAACACGCCACCGCCGCTGCGTGGGTCTGGTCGTGTAGGTAGGAAAGGGGAGAGATATGTACGGTGTACGTGCTGTGGGCGAGAATATCAGGCAAAGTCGCCGGCGGAACTAAAGCCAAATACGAAACTCAGCATATGTAGGGATTGTGGGAGGAGCATGAATGTGGAACATGGTGAGATGGAGGAAATGGAAATGTAGATAGACGAGTATGCAGTGTAAAAGAATTAGGGTTGGGGGGGTTGTGATTCCGTACCCATGCACTCAGGAAGTTTGTTCTTCGTCCAAGCCCAAACAAGTCAAGACCACATGCATGTCGAAATTCTAGGAGAGCCCGATAAAATAGTCTCTTCGTGATTTGTCTCAGTCGCAGGAGAAGAATCAAATACGAACAGAATATCAATATTGAAAACTTCTTTTCTCTGTAGCAGTAAGGCCGCGCATACTTTACATGATAAAAGCAACATTATCTGTTTGGAACGAGATCAAAAGGACATCCACGTGTGCAAGGAAAGTTTGTTTCAACGGTACAGAAACCAGGACATCCTCCATGTAGCTATGACAGTCGTAGGGAGACCATCTCAAAAGGAACTAAACCTCCCGTGCCAGACAGCGCATCAGGACGATGCCGCGCCAGAATAGTAAAGATACATCAAGAATCCAAGGCCCCGGAGTAGGAAAGGTAATAATCAGTCTCATTGGCCTCATGTCGCGCACTCATACCTCCGGAGATCCTTAGACTCCATTTTCGCATAATCCATGTCCACAGTGGGAAGCCTCGGAGCGTCAATTTAGGAAAAAGAAATGATACTTTAGGCACCACACAGGCCTACTGGATGGATGTCAGTAGATGCACGAGAACACAACACCAGGGCAGAACTAGAGGTGTTCGACATACGTTGCCAGTCATGCTCTTCCGTTCTAGTAGCGGCCGCGGGGTGGGTAGTCAGCCGGTGGGGCATCGTAGGGTGGGCGTCCTCCCGGGCTGCGGGGACGAGCACCACGCGGAGAGGGTGGTCGTCCTCCGTCGTAAGGGCGCCCGTGGCCGTTTATATAAGGGTCGTCGTAGCGACGAGGTGGAGGTCCGGCCCTAGCATCATAAGGATCGTCAGGGTAACGCGCGCGCGGTGGGCCATACTCATCAGGCATGCGACCACGAGGTGGCGAACGTCCATAACCGACGTCACGCCTGTCATAGAACTCGCGGGGCGGTGTGCGCCGGCGGTAATCGTCGCGTCGAGGGCTGTAGCCACGAGGGGGGCCGCGACGGTCATAGTAGTCGTCATACGGCGCAGGTGGGTAGCCGCGGCGTCCCATAGGAGAGCGCGATCGATATCTGTCTCGGCCCCGGTCATCGGGACCACCAGGGCCTCCGTAAGGAGCCCTAGGCTTAAAAGGTGGAGGTGGGGGAGGATCAGAGACGTCTTGGATGCAGGTAACCTCCTGCCCCTTGAACTCACGGCGGTCCAGTTTCTCCACTGCAGTCTTCAGATCGGCGGCCGTCTCGTATTCGACAAATCTTAATAGCGTCAGCATGCCGTCAGGAGGCCTTTACTGTAGCGCACTCACCCAGTGCCATCGCGTTCACGGCCAACTTCAGAGTAGACGACGTCCAATCCAGATTGACGGGCAAAATCTTTCAGGTCCTATACATTCGAAGTTAAGCGAGGTCCAAATCCAGAATGTGTAACGGGAAGCACGCGATAATAAAGCCATTACTGGTCCGGGAACGGTACGCTGACCCTAACAGGAAACTGGGGAAATCCAATGATCGGGGAGTCTGACCTGCCAGCTGGTCTCCACCGGAAGATTTGCTATTCTCATCCGGTATGGCGTACGTCTAGGACGTGGTGGAACGCGCTCGTGGGGAGTAAAGTTCTCATTGCGAGCGCGCGAGCCGCGAGCGAATTGGACAATAAGGCGCTCGCCCATGAAATCGGAACCATCTTATAAAAGGTTAGGACGACGTGCCTGGGGGAATTGAACGCGACAAACTACATACGGAAAGCTACACAGGAATTAGCGCTTCTTCAGTCTACTGGATGGTGGACCAAGCTTACCAGGAACAACGTCACGAGCGTCCATGGCGTCCTTGTACTCGATGAAACCGAAACCGTTCATCAACTTGATCTCGGTAATCTCACCAGTGCCATGCGTCTGGAAGTGGCCTTCGACGTCTGCCTTGGTGGCATTACGGGGAAGGTTGCCTAGGTATAGGCGCGTAGACGATACCTCAGTCATGGCGATGGGGATTATGGTGGAACTCTGGCCTAAGGATAACCTAGTCTGGATAAAATGGTGAGCACATGTCCATGAGTAAGCGGAGAGCCAGCGAAGGAGTGCGCATCGTGCCTGCTAGACATGGGAGGCTCCGTTTCAGAGACGCGACACCAGGAAACCAGCGTCCAGCTATGCGCGCAACTACAAGGACCAGGATAGACGCGCGAGGAATGGCCAGAGAATGCAATGCAGGTAGCTAGTCGTACCTTGGAGATTGATGGGGGTGGCGAAGGCTGGATGCAGGGCAGTGGTAGAAGGACCTGAGTGGTGAAGGGCCTGGAGGGAGCCGGCTGAGCGCAGATGTCGCGCACTCGGGTCTGAGGAGAGAAATTAGTATGCCCGGTATCGCGGCAGCGGGGTGCAAGCAGAGATGATGGCCGAGCTGCTGTTGATGTGACAGGCCCCAGCGTGGTTGTTAGGTGGAGAGTGACGAAGGGCGCGGAGACGAACTTCGCCCAACGCCGCCTTACTTGGCTAAGCTAGAGCACGGACATCACGTGCATCCCACTCTCTGAGACCCATGGATGCCCTGCCGAGGCTACCACTTGGACGTGATCTCATGCAAATGCATGTGTTATCATACGCTGAGAGGCCATGCTGAACACGTATCTCGACCAAATCTTCACCAATACCAAATGCTTGCCAATCAAGATATGTCATTCATGTGCCTTTGCAGTCGGCAATCCTCGCTTGGGCAGCAACAATAATTGGGCTAGCCACTTATACATACACATGTGGTTTCTCCTAATATACATATCGGGTGATATCTTACTTCGCGCATCGAGCTGCCTAAGTTGAATAGGTACGAAGATCACCAGATGACTGTGGTTAAGTCAGGACGTACTTTGGTCCTTCGCCGCCTTGGGGTGTTTGCCAGTTGATATCCTGATCCGGTACTTTGATATCGCAAGTCTTGCAGTGAACGCAGCTAACACTAGTTAATTATAATGTACTCAATCTTGACTAGCTCTTTTGGATACTTACTTCTGAGCGTTGATTTGGAACCGGACGCCCAACTCTTTGCTGGCATCCTCGACATACTCATAGACACCTGCGGGACAGAAGCGGTTTTCGACACCCTTGTATTTGGGCCACTCCCTCTTGGCATGCTCATCAAGATCCTTTACCTGGAGATGGCACGGCTGATCTTCCTCATGATTTGTGCCGCTACGGCTGACACTGGTCAATATGTCGAAGCTGATCTTGCCGTCCGGTTTGGGGTATTCAATCTTCTGGTACTCATCCGCAGGCTTTGTCGCTGCATGATCAGGCTTCCCATGTTTCAGTGTCCAAGGCGCTTTGCCTCGGAGGACGTATGCCTCCAATCCTGAGTACATTATGCCCCCGTACACACCAAGAGGTGTATGGAAAGACGGCCGCATGTTTCGCACAGTCTTCAACTCTGACCAGATTGGTGACTTGCGCATCTTGTCTTCATAGTCGTACAGGAATATAGTCCCGCCGTCTGTGTTGGCTTGGAGAGCATCCCACGTTGCCTCGGCGGCCAGCATACCTGATCTCATTGCATTGTGCGTGCCTTTGATTTTCGGTAGGTTGACCAAGCCTGCTGCATCTCCAAGGAGGGCACCACCGGGGAAAGCAAGCTTGGGGATAGACTGGAAACCACCCTCGATCAGAGTCCTTGCGCCGTAGGAGATGCACTTACCACCCTCCAACACATCCTTGTATAACGGGTGGTGTTTCATCTTTTGGAACTCACCATAAGGCGCCAGCCAGGGATTGGGGTAGTCAAGCCCGACCACTAGGCCAATGCTGACCAAATTGTCGCCAAAATGGTACATCCAACCTCCTCCATAGGTATCTTTGGGAAGTGGGTAACCTAGAGAATGCACCACCAGGCCAGACTTGAACTTCTCGGGCTGCACTTCCCAGACCTCTTTGATTCCAAGGCCGTAGGTTTGATGCTGGCTGTCCCGCCTCAGATCGTATTTTTTGATAATCTGCTTTGACAGGCTACCGTGGCAGCCTTCACCAAGCAATGTGACACGGGCATGGAATTCCATTCCTCGTTCAAAGGAGTCTTTTGGCTTTCCCTCTCGCGATATACCGAGATCGTTGGTAGCTACGCCCCGTACAACGCCTTCGTGGTTATAAAGCACCTCGGACGCAGCAAACCCAGGGTAGACTTCTACGCCGACCTCTTCTGCTCGTTCGCCGAGCCACTTGACCATTTGGTTCAAACTTATGATGAAGTTGCCATGGTTGTTCATCTGCGGGGGCTTGGGGAGGGGTATGGCGCGGTCCCTGGTCATGAAATACATGTGATCTTCCTTCGCAGGCGTAATGTCAGCGAAGCGGTTCAAGTTGTCCTCCGATCTCCAGTCCGGTAGCAATTCGTCAAGAGCGGAAGGCTCAATGACATTGCCTGAGACGATATGATCACCTAGCTCTCCAGCTTTTTCCAACACCAAAACCCTGAAGTCCTCATTGCCTGCCGCTGTCGCAAGTTGCTTCAACTTTATAGCCGCCGACAGACCGGCCGGACCCCCACCCACAATGAGCACATCAACCTCATCAGATTCGCGCTCTATCGACTTGGGATCGAATGTGTCGTCTACCGCGGCCAATCGTGTGCGTGGCGTTGTGCAAAAAGGTCTTCTTTGGCCGGCAATTCGGAGTGCCGGGCGGTAGGATCCTGACACACTTCGTATATGCGGTGACGCGGATGCAATTGGTCGTGTTGCTATGAGTGTGGATTGCGACGTTGTGAGCAGCCGTCGTGTTATGGACGCAGGGATGGACCGTGTAGCCATTGTGGCGTGTTGGACAGGCATTTTACGTTGATGGGCGTGGAGAACCCAGGTGAGAAGAGGGACGGGGTCTCAAAAGCTTGTGTATGTATACGTGTAACTGGCTACACTCCACTGGCCAGCACTCAACCGTCCGGGTGGCGACGAGACGGAGGCACCAAAAAACTGCGCCGTCGTTGACCAGACCTCGAAAATGACGATGTCCAAAAGTCGCAGCCGAGGCTAGAGGCTAGGTGCGGGATTGTAACGGGGCGCACGCCATTGGCCAGCGCTCCCGTCACCCCGTCACCCGTCACTTTGTAGTTCCTTCGCTCCACTCTCCACATTCAGCACCTGTCAAAACATGTACAACCGACTCGACTATCAGCACGGTGGCGGTTGATTTACAGTGTACCTCTAATCATGTAACCGACACGTTCAGAAACGAGGCGTTGATCCCCCGGCTCCTGTGTGGCCCATCGCGTGTCAACACCAAAGGCTGAGACGCTCCGCCGCGTTGGTGAACTACAATGGGCCCACGCGGTACATGGAACTCACAAAACTGATCAGCTACAGGGCAGGAATCCTGCTGTCGTCGTACTGCTTGAGAGACTGTGAGCGCAACTGTTGCAGTTGTTTGACATAATACCTACATGCATCGCATGCCCTGACTCGACAAAGGCGAAACCCGTCAGTCTCTTGTACCCCTTGACCAGTGCAAATCGAAAGGACGGCAATGGACTGGACATTAGTAGATCAAATTGGAAGATGCATGGCCTGTATTCAGATCATTCCCCTTCAATACCGCCTCTTTCAAAAAGCATTTCTCGTCAAGACCTTTGAGGCTTCTTGGTATGTACTTGCAGCGGGCACATCTCGGTGGGCCTGAAACCAGCTGAGATTCAGGCCCACGTACGGCGGCAAACCTCAGTCATACATCAAACTCCAAACTTATGCGTTTAGGATAATAATTTCTCCGCATATACCCCCCCGGCCCTGTCTGCAACAAGCTCTCAAACTGTACACGTTCGATTTCTAGGCCGCATCTCTGCATGAAGACCGCCTCCCCGGCATCAGGCGTGCTTCTCGCTTCTCATCCGCAATTCCATTTTCTTATTCATGCGTTTTCATTCGACCGTTTACAGCCAAGGCGCGGCCCCGATCCCATAGCAGACATGATCTAGGCTTGCAACTGGGAGCTTAGCTCCTGTTCCTGTGAGAGAATTATGGGCCTGATCGACCAGACCTCTTTGAGGCCTGGCCCTCTCCAGGCATCCTCCAACGGCCCATGTGTGATGTGCTCGGAGGACCATGAACATCCATCTCAGCAAACGCGGCTTGTTCTATATTCAGCACTTCTCTGTTCAAGGAGGCCGACATGGTGCATAAAGCCAAGTTTGTATATAACCTGATCCCCTTAGAAGCTTACAACATCACGCTCACCTTCCATCTTTTCAGATCATTCTTTGGTGCTGAGCACTTATTTTTATTTCACTTCGATTCTCAAGAGCTGTGCTCAAGTTACATTTCGACACATCTCGTTTCAATCCTTCAACTTTAACCGAATACCGTCATTATGAAGACCTCTGTTCCCCTTCTCACAATTCTTTCTGCCTCCTTTGTGGCAGCGGCCCCAGCACCTTTTGCAGGCAATGGACCAGCAATCGCTGCTCGCGCCCAGGACGGGGCTATTACCAACCTGAACTTGGGCCGTCGCGAAGAGGTTGTGCACAAGTTTGGCGAAAAGGCCCTAAAGCTCCGCGGTGTGCTATTGGCCGCACGGGGTAGTATGGCTAAGAATAATGCTAATGCAGAAGATGCTGCTGCTGCTGCGGATGGCAACGCTAAAGACCAGGCAGCGCAGGATGCTGCCGCTGCTGCGGAAGAGGAACAAGCCCAGGGAAATGGCAAGGGAAATGGCAAGAACAACGCCAAGGATCAAGCCGCCCAGGAAGCCGCTGCAGGTAAGAATATTTCTATTCTTGTTCGAAAATATCTCGCTAACTCCGCAAAGCCCAAGATAAACAAGCAGCAGAGGATGCTCAGGCACAGCAAGACCAGGCTGCTGCTGGAGGCATGAAGCAGGACAAGGCTGCCGATGGGGCTGCTGCTGCCGATGACCAAAAGGCAGCAGCTGAGCAGAAGGCGGCGGCCGAGCAAAAAGCAGCAGAGGAGCAAGCTGCAGCCGACCAAAAGGCAGCGGCCGAGCAGGAGGCTGCTCAGATGGAGCAGGCGGTAGCAGAGCAACCAAACAATGCCACTATGGGAGCCGATCACCAAGCTGCTGCTGACCAGAAAGCCGCCGCTGAACAAGCTGCCGCCGAACAGGAAGCCGCTCAAAAGGAGAAGCAGAAGGGTGCTGCTGCCGACCAAGCTGCCGCCGACCAAGCCGCTGCTGACCACAAGGCTGCTGCCGACCAAGCTGCCGCCGAACAGGAAGCCGCTCAAATGGAGAAGCAAAAGGGTGCTGCTGCCGACCAAGCTGCCGCCGACCAAGCCGCTGCTGACCACAAGGCTGCTGCCGACCAAGCTGCTGCCGAACAGGAAGCCGCTCAAATGGAGAAGCAAAAGGGTGCTGCCGCCGAACAAGCTGCCGCCGAACAAGAGGCCGCTCAAATGGAGAAGCAGAAGGGTGCTGCCGCCGACCAAGCTGCTGCTGAACAAGAGGCCGCTCAAATGGAGAAGCAGAAGGGTGCTGCTAACGACCAAGCTGCCGCTGACCAAGCTGCCGCCGAACAAGAGGCCGCTCAAATGGAGAAGCAAAAGGGTGCTGCCGCCGACCAAGCTGCTGCTGAACAAGAGGCCGCTCAAATGGAGAAGCAGAAGGGTGCTGCTAACGACCAAGCTGCCGCTGACCAAGCTGCCGCCGAACAAGAGGCCGCTCAAATGGAGAAGCAGAAGGGTGCTGCCGCCGACCAAGCTGCCGCCGAACAGGAAGCCGCTCAAATGGAGAAGCAAAAGGGTGCTGCAAACGACCAGGCCGCTGCTGATGAACAAGCTGCCGCCGACCAGCAGAACAGCTGCAACATCGGAGCTGAACAGGCTGCCCAAGATGCTGCTAACCAGCAAGAGGAGTTGGCTAAGGGCATGCAAGACGCTGCTGCTGGTGGAGCTGCTCAAGCAGGAAGTAAGTATCGTCTCCTCTAACAACGATTCTAGACACTAACAAGCCTAGATGCTACAGCTGGCGTTGGCGGTAACAACGGCAAGGGAAAAGGCAACGGCAAGGGTAAGGGTAAGGGAAATGGCAAGGCCAACGGCAAGGGCAATGGTACGTATTAGATTCCAGAAGAGTCCGAAATGATGCTAATTAAGATGCAGGTGCCAACGCTCAAGATGGAGCCGGTAGGGGTGCCGGTATGGATGCCGGCGCTGCCGCTGATGCACAAGCTGGAGCTGAAGCCGATGCTGCTATGGGTGCCGACGCTCAAGCTGGTAAGGGCAAGGGTAAGGGTAAGGGTGCCGGCGCTGCTGCTGAGGCTGGCAAAGACGCTGGTATGGGCGCCGACGCTGCCGCTGACGCTGAAGCTGGGGCCGCTGAAGGTGCTGGAGCTGCCAAAGATGCTGGTATGGGCGCCGACGCTGCCGCTGACGCTGAAGCTGGGGCCGCTGAAGGTGCTGGAGCTGCCAAAGATGCTGGCATGGGCGCTGCCGCAGACGCTGAGGCTGAGGCTGCTGCTGGAGCCCAACAGCACAAGGCTTCAGGCATGAGGCGCAACGCGAAGAGGACAATTGCCTTCCGTGCCTAAATCTTCGGCCAGCTGAAGTTGTAGGTTTAGATGGTAGAGATTCTGAGATGACAAGCTCTGCGGTGCAGAAGTCTTTTGTCGTTATGTAATATGCACGATCAAGTGCTATATCGTTTTTGTAATAGAGTCATGACCTTAGAATGAATAGTGTAGCACCATGCTAGTCGAGCTGCTGCTCTATGTGATCGCTTCATCTCACGCCTTTGTCTTGATGTCCTGGTTAATGCAACGATCCAGCTGTTCCTTTCGCGAATATTTTGTTATTAGTGCCACTACGTAACGCATGTTCTTTTATATATACGCTCCCTACTGCGCAACTGGTGCACATTACCTGCCTGCGTCACAAGTTGCCTTGTGCTATATCGGAGTTTGCCAACATACATTTCCAATATATTTATGCCCTCAGTATATCAGGGCGCGTCTCATCAACTCGCGATGTTGTTCAGAACTATCGAATCTTGCGCGTTGCGGTCGGGGTATCGCAGCCGCGTCTGCTCTATCGCTCGCAAGACTGGTAATCGACGGTGATGGAATCGCACGTTGGGGAGGACGGTGGAGAAATAGCATGTTCTGTTCTACTTTCTTTTATCAGTATTGCATGCTTAGCCAGGCACATATTATCAGATCGTGGGGGAATAGTAGTAACGTACTATAGCTGGTGGAACTGAGATGGAAGCGTGAGCGACGGGGCCATGGGTTACGCCATGATCTTACGCTAGGCCAGATGAGGGGAAACGCTATCCCTAATATGGCTACTGCTATGGCGGCTATACCAATGATGGCCTCTACGGACGGGCTACTATGTGATTCGACGGGCGAACTCTCGAGTAGGTGTCGTCGCTGAAACATGGGGGAGATGGGGCTAGCGTCTGCGCTAATAGGGCAGCATGCGAGAACAACAGGGAGAAGCTGGAAAAGCATATTTGTCTGAAAGCAGTAATGTGGACTTCTACTTTCCAGTGATCTCAGATAGATCGAACATATATACTAGGTGGGAACGGAACACGACAGTAATGGAGTATCCTGACAAGGCTTGCTTGTCAGAAATACGCGGGTAATGTGGTTATGGTAATGGAAGTGAAAACACGAATGAATGCTATGTTAAAGTAAGCTGGATATTTTGGCGGCAGCAGTAGTTATATATAAAGGGTCCTGAGGTGCAAGTGTTAAGAGGAAGAGGGATGGGAAGAGTGTTGAGGACGGTAGCGCAGAAGGAGGTGCAGGGGGCGCGACTATTGGGGCGTGGTGTGCTGAGAGGCGAATCAAGGCCTGGCCCCCGCCCTGCATTGTCCTGACATTCTCGTACTCTACGAATTAGGTGCGCTCATTCGTTGATTTGCGACCGCCTTTTTTCCCCACATGACGTTACTGTATGTCCAACGTCTGTCCGGCAGAAAATCGAACGGTCGCTGGCAACTCGACTTCGAAGCGCTCACTCGTGGTAGAAGCGGTTAGGCAATTAGGCTAGAACGGAGTGGGGATCGGAAAACAAGAGATAATCTGAACAAAACCTTGACCTGTGTACAGTTAGTATCGTCACTAGTCAGATATCATGTTTCATAGTCTCAGCCACAGTGTAAGAGGCCACGCCGGGAACGAAGCACGTGAGAATATCACGTGACTTTGGTCTATACAGAAGAATCTATAAGCAAAAGTACGAGTAGCAAGCGTCGTAGGATATTTCTGTTTCTTTGTCTTTCTTCTTCTATACGATAGGCTAATGCAAACTCGTTCGAAGGCCTCTTCGTCTGTAATAATAACGGGGGATCTTGCTTTATCCAATAGGCTTACCGTATGCGGATTAGATCTACACATAAAATGCGTCATCCGAACAGGAGACAAATGGCGTTAGTACTGTACTTACACTGCATTTCGAATCTCTTGCGCTCAGGATTCAGCGTCAACTTCTACCGTCGCAACTTGTGGTCCAATATATTACAGTACTGAAGTGCCAAACTGTTCCGACGGAACCCGGAGAGCTGAGACCCCTCCTGCGGACTAGGGAGCGAACAGGTGTTGCGACAATATACCGCACCTATCGCTCGAAGTTTTCTATGCAACACACCGCAGCCATATAATAGCAGTTTGTTCGTAGTCATCACCCGGACACCACCCCCATTCGTGTATCGGCCGGCTCTTTCCACACCAAGCTACCATGGGAAGGATTGGCCGACGTGCGGATCTTGACAATTGGGCCTTGCAGCAACTTCATTCTGTTATCCTGGAACATCACAACGATACTTTTATCATTTAACTGCGACGTTCACTAAAATTGATTTCCTCAATTCAGCACTCATACAAAAAAAGCGTCTTTCATTTTCACTTTCACCTCGAGACGCTAGTCCAAGCTCCCATAGTCGCGCTTTTGTGTGCTGCGTCACCAGAACAGCACAACTACTCAGATATCAAGATCCAAATTATGTCTGGTCAGCGCGTACTATCAGAGGTGTTGCGCAAAGAACCTCGAATCGACTCAGGCACTGCGCTCTCTGATCCAGTTATCACATCCAGTAGCCAGTTCTCAGCCAAGTAAGCATTTTTCTGAGTATCCAAGTTTACAAAACTCATGCGCTAGCAGAAAAATTCAGATGCCTGAGCTTCGCAATACCAAATACGACTTTGGTGCCGCCAAGGCCCAATACGGCGAAAATGAGCTTCAGCTCCGGCAACCAGAAGGCTTTCCAATCATTCCTCTTCCTATCACGATAGTGCGTGCTTACGAGGAGGCTGCAATGGCAGCTGCAGCGAGGGATCACTCTGAACTCGTATTCAACATTTACGAAGATGTAAATGATGGTACACGCAGAACGACAGCTGAAGAGGATCATGAAATGATTGACGCCGACGCTAATGAAACCGTTGGTGAAGAAGAGGAACAGGTCAATAACGGCGATGAAGCCCGACAAGTGGGTGACGAGAACGACCATGCAGTTCCCCCCAACTCTACAAGCGCGACCAAGAGTGATCCAAGGCTTGATGTACACGTAGACAGCCTAGGACGAACACGCGCAGCAGCACATCGGCGTAAGGCTCTTGAGACCATACAGCTTGGAGATCATGCCGTGGACTTAGCAGGAGACTTGACTAGCATGGGCAGCAGCAAGAAACGTACAAGTAGCCGTATCCAAAAGTCCACACAGCCTAGGAAGCAGTCGATTAGGAAGCCACGCTAGGGAGTTTGAAAGAGCTTTTTCGAGATTGTTTGGTTCGCGAGATGTAGCTCGGGGGAATGGATCTAGGCCTAGCGGCTTATGTCGTGTACACCTGTATTGGTCATCGGGCCGTGGCGGATAACTTCGCTCCCACGACAATTGCCAATTTCAGCATGGTAATAGACAGAAGAGTACCTGGATAGCCCATGTTAGCATAGCAATGATAAGCCGTTGGCGCAAAGTGCTCAGGTCACATATCGCAACCCGCTCTATCGCTCGGTGTAAATGGACCCTGGCTCAAGCTGACGCCACTAACCGCATCAAGATTATGTACACTTGCAACCACGTGTGAGCGCGTATTAAAGCTAACAACTCCTGCCCCGCCTTCCTAGCTATCTCCAACATATCCAGACAACGGTATCGACTTGACCTTGCTTTTCCCAACCCCTCAGTTCCCAACACTTCCGACCCCCAAACTGCAACGTTAATCAACTTCTCCTTCGCTCAAAGAGCCTCCACGTGTAAAGAAGATGGCCTCTGGCACTCAAATGGAGCTGATACGAGCCTGGTCTAGGGATATCGGCCACGTTGTTGATACTGCAAACTCACCAAAAGCCGAATTTGCGCGTCTGGCTAAAGCAAAGGGGTGGGAGGGCGGCAATGAGACATGGCGTTCGCGCTGGAAAGAGTGTTTCAAAGAGGAGTATCCATATGGCCAGTGTCGTAAGTCTTCTCATTTCACCATGTATTTGAATCGTTCAATACAATGTTATCTGATATCATATATGAAGTGTGTTGCTGACTTATGATACAGGTCGGTTAGCAGGTAGAAATAAGGCTGAAGCTTTGGAAGACGGCGGAATCCATCTCGAAGACAGGATGCGCAGACTCTCAATCATATCCGACACCTCATCGTTCTCGGTCATTTCCAGGGCAGATTCCCTTGATAGTGTAAGGTCGTTCGACAGCCATGAATCTTTTGAAGACCTAGGTGCGGCTGTCGATGTTCCTGTTTCACTCAACCCGGCATCGGTCTCCGAAACAAATGAATACAAGGACCCGATCGAATCAGAAAGGAAGCCCTCACTGAGCAGTTCCGAATGCAAAGCAGACAGCAATCCTGCCTGGGCGGAATTCACCAACTTCGTGCACTCACCAACTGCGCATTTCAAATCGGAGTTCGAACGTCTCGCTCATATCAAAAACTGGACCGGAAATGTGAAGAGGCAACAGTTCGTTTCTTTGCTTAGCTCAGAAGTTGCTTTTTACTGGGGTACTGATGGAGATAAGCTTGAACAGCACCAAGAAATGTGTCGCGATCTTGGTCTTACTCACATTCCGGGTACAGTTACACAGTGCAAGAAGGTTCGTTTCTGAATTCCAGCTAGGCACAAAGAAAAAGAGTGCTAATCGTAGATAGGCCCTTGATCCTTTAAAGATAAACCTCTTTACCGTCATTGATAACAAGCGAAATCCAAAGATCAAGATCGTTCAGTACGAGTCTCTCAGCAAGTTACGGAAGAGCATCCGCAAGAGCGGGTGTTTCCCAAGGGATGCTGCGAAAGCGGGTGGCGGATGCTTTAGATCGCTGCTTTGCAGATTGTAGCCGCCACGGTCATTCAGGGCCATGTTATTGGAGTTCGGAGCATGTGATTTGACATTTGGGCATCGAATATACATGATGGGAAGACCGAAATTGCATCTCTCTTACCTATGTGTTGAATTCAGTCTCCGGATAAACAAGAATCGTACCTAATTTCCAATAGTATCTATTACTTTCGAACGCTACGGCTGGAGACTAGCTGAGATATCGTACTCTCTAAATGCTGCATCGTACATTCACTGCTCTTTTGAGGGTATTGGCCGAGGTGACAAGAACTGTCGCGAGTTTGGTAATGCAATTTTCCGTGTCGATAAGAAGACTCAAATTGATAACAATGTAGGTAGCCTAGCTCGATGGCAAGGCTCTTGCTGCCGTTGTGGTGTCGAGCAGCTCTTCACACCATCACAAGATGCATGAAGGTATTCTCTCAATGTGGCGAAAGACGACAAATTTCCTTCTCCCTCTCTGAACTCAGTGTTTCACTCGCATAAAAAAATACATCTCGAATTGGACTAAGCGCTAGCCAATATGTTTTGGGGTTGTGGCTGTCTCATGCAGTGGCGTACGTACGGGACGGCACGTCCTGCTCGGTGCCGTGCCATAGCTTGCGAACCAATCCTTTCAAACAATTGACAATGACCACTGGCACCCCAATACATGTCCAAGGCAGCAATTGGCCAGATTCCGTCCCATCAATATTTGCACTGCCCCAAATCTGCCTTGTATGCATGTGTGTGGCACAGTGACACCACCGTGCGTCATCCGCTCAATGCGCCCAGCACGTATTAGATAGCAATGCCTCAGGATTGTTAACTCATCGCCCTCTAACAGCTCACGAATAGCATTAGGCTACAGCGATACAAGGGTTTTTTCTTCTTTATGGTGGTCTGTTGCCGCTGCGGCGTCATGCATGTAGCCTCTGCGCCGCATACGATGGATTTGTTTGTTGCCCCAGGCTGTAAAAGTGACTTCTATATTAACCGCGTGTAGAATCTATGTAATCTTCCATCATCCAGTAACCCTGACAGCAATACAACCTCTGCGCTCACGAAACTAGTGTACCGTCACTCGACTCCACCATGGCTCCTCACCGCCCCCACTCCCTTCGTAAGTACCACCACCCTACCACCCCCTCATACCCTGAATCCCCAACTAACCCATCCCAAGCCACCCCCTCCCCGACTCCCTCTCCAGACCCGCGCAAACCCAACCCCGGCGGCACCTGGTTCTCGCAATTCCACTCTTTCACCTACGATCCCACCGCAGGTCTAAAATCCAATTTCGAACGCCTCGCCAACACGCGAAACTGGAAGCCCAAACTCAGAAGCAAGCGCTGGACACAATGTCAAGCCGCGGAATTTGATGCCGCGTACGGAAAGGATACATCGAAGTTGGAATCGTGGCAGGCGCTTTGCCGCGAGGTGCTTATTGCTGAGGTGCCGGGGAGTATTACGCAGTGCAAAACGGTATGTAGATTACCTTTCCCTCCCCCCTTCCAAGTTCTTACCCTTTCTGATAGCTATTCGAGGTTGACTAATGTGTTGTGTACAGGTTCTCGGAAGCAGGAAGGTACTGGTCAACTTGGTGAATCTGATTGATCATCGCAATATGGGGGTGCCGGTGATACGGTTTAAGAACTACGCGGCATTTAGGGAGTATACGACTGATGGGAGAATTTTTCCAAAGAAAAAAGCGAAGGAGGAGGGGTTTATTAAGGCGCTTTTGAGGACTCTTTAGTGGGTGGTGGGGTGGAGGTTCTGTTTGGGACTGGGGATGGGTCTTGATGATTGCAGCGGGAAGTAAGAGTGAAGATAAAGAGTGTTGTTTGATTTGCCTTGTGTGGCTGTTTCTTTTCTGTGTTGTAGCTGAGGGATTTGTCACCTGTCATTTACTACCTACACGCTATCTGAGAGCACCAAAGCTGTAAGGAGTTAGCCATCTACTCGCTATCGATAACGAATCTTAAGTTTGACAGATATGCTATCTATACCGCCATTGTGTCTGATATACAGCCATTACCTATTGTCCAAAGTTAGGAAAGATACAAATCCGGACAGTGAGAGGGTTTTATAGTAAGCAGTGGCTGCTGATCTTTGGCGACTCAGATCGGGAATCCAAGGATGAATCTTGGTAGTTCCTTCACTATTAAAGAGCTTTTGCAAATGAGAGTGAGACAAGAACGAAGGATTGCAAGATGACATGACAGGTCATCTGGAATACTCTGTCAAACTCCATCTGATCACAGCTACTACGACACTGCAGTTTCCAGATGATTCCCAAGCACCCGGAAAATGCCAAATACCTGTAAACAGTCTGCAACTCTTACAGGGAATTCGTGTGACGAGATACAAAACATGCATCCCCAACGAAGCACGATGGTGACGGAGGCCACGAAAAAGCAACCTCTCAAAGTGATGGAGGCTGGAATAAACTCCGGCAGTCTGCGGGATTTCAGTAAAACGAGTCATTTAACCATACTTTACCAAGCCCCTACTATCCATTTCCGCTCGCAATGATGCCATCGCCCATCCCGAAGCAGTCTGCGGCATATTCAGGGAGCTCCACAACGCAACGCCCCCAATCTCGTCTAAGACGAAACCCCCAAAAGCTCATAAATCTAGACGGCTTGTGTCGCCAGACAAATGCATGTGAAGTAAGAGCTAGCCAACAACAAGCGTGGAGATCTTTGCTCTTCACAGCCATAGCGCTCTTTGTGTTTCGCTTTACCGAGCCACATGCCCCCCAATCCACATTTGATATTCCTATTTTATACCCCGCTTCTTACCACAGCCAGGGTGTACTATCGTCGATCGTACATCAAACGAGGCGATCCCCCAACCATGCGTCACCTTGCGTCCCTGCAGAAGGCATTGCCCGTGCACCCTTACTGCTGGACCCTTAGATCGCCGCGTAGTAATAGTAAAGAGTGATATTTGCCTCCCCCCTCCCGCCAAAAAACATAATGTATAGCTATGCTTTGATCGCATTTCTTTTACTGTTACCGTCATCGCTATTACGATGCAGCAAGAAAACGAGTCCCTAAAACTACCAGACGGGCGCAAGCTCTCCTACGCCATCTACGGCAGCCCCGTCCCCCAACGCACCATCATCTACCTACACGGCTACCCCTCGTCGCGCTACGAAGGCAAGCTCTGGCACTCAAGCTGCGCAACACACAACATCAGGCTTATTGCGCCCGACAGACCAGGCAACGGTCTCTCGACTTTCCAGCATAACCGCCGCATACTCGACTTCCCAGCCGACATCCTCGCTCTCACCGAACACCTTAAAATCCACCAGTTCTACGTGCTAGGTGTTGCGGAGGGCGCACCGTACGCGCTGGCGTGTATAAAAGAGATTCCAAAGGAGAGGCTGCTCAGCGCGAGTATAGTGGGTGGGTTGTACCCCGTTAAGCTAGGTACATCCGGTATGATACTGCCATCGCGAATCGTTCTATGGATAGCGCCGTGGATGACGAGCTTTACCGCCGCGCTGTTTGATAATAAGATGGGAAGACCGAGTCGGAATGAGGATCCCCGTGTTTTCGAAGATGCGTTATCGAGAGAGGTGGAGAATTGGCATCCGGGAGATCAGAAAGCGATTCGCTGCGCGAATGTTTGGCCAACGTTTGTGGCGATGACGAAGGAGTCTTTTCATCAGGGGAGTGAGGGCGTGGGGTGGGAGGCGAAGCTTAATGGGAGTGAGTGGGGATTTGAGCTTGCGCATGTGCATGTTGGGGAGGGGGAGGTGCCGTTGACGCTGTGGCATGGGAAGGATGATAGGAATTCGCCGATTGGGATGGTGGAGCGGGCTAAGGAGCTTTTACCAGGATGTGTGTTGCGGTTGAAGGAGGGGGAGGGTCATTTTGGTTTCATTTCCCGCGATGCAGATGAGATCCTGGAGGACTTGGTAAGGAGGGAGGGGAAGGAAGAGAAGGAAGAGTTCATGATGGTAAGTGTTACACAGGTTTATGAGTAGGTTGCGGCTCTTCTTCCCATTCTAGAGTCTGTTCTTGTAGCTCTTTATTGATGATACTCTAGATGTGCGATTGTGGTGATGAGTGGTAGCCGTGGAACAGAGTCATGAAGGGTCTGGCTCTACCATGTCTGCCGGTAATACCCAAAGACGATTGCAATCATGCATGAGATACATCATCGTGACTGCCTTTTCTGTATGCGGACACCAGCAATACATATAGAAGACGGTACATCCCAAGCCATAACCCATTAAACCAATAGTAAGCACGCGCGATGAACAGATTGCAGGTACTCAAATGATTAATTCGTCTCAGATACTAATACTAGCTAGTCTTCGAAGACCAGAAAAAGCGAATGCAAAGAATGGTATAATGCAGGAAAATCCTAAACGCCAAATCCTCCCAGATAATTTGTAAAAAAGAAGAAAAAGAGAAGAGGTCTAGCCTCATGCAGTAACTGCACACTCACAGCTTGCCGACGTTCCTTGTAATCATTACCACCACACCCGCGACAACCTTGATCACAATCTTGAGCACAAAGACAACAGACTTGAACGCGAACGTTAAGACGGTAATAGCAGCCCTCGCTACAAACGGGAGTTTATTATCATCACCATTCTGCGAGCTCTTCGCCTTCTTTGCCTTCTTCTCTGCTTTTGTTTCTTTAGTTTTAGTATGCTTATCCTGCTGTCCATACCACTCTCCAAGCTCGATGTCTTTATCGAAACTTCCGCTAGTACTCTCGCTGCGCGGCGTCCCAGTTGTTGTGCTCTTCAAGCTTGACGCGAATTTCTTGAGTCCCTTGCTGGAAAATGGGGGTTTGGTCTTTGTTCCACCGATTCCTTGGAAGCCCTCGACAAAAGAGTCCTTGAAAGCTTTCGCAGTGTCTTCTTTTTGGTGGGTCAGGGTGAAACTTGGGGGTGGCGGCTCGAAGCTATCTTGGCTCCTGTTGCGGGCTTTGCGGCCGCGGGTTGCTTCTGCGACGGCAACAGCGAGGAGTGTGGATGTTACCACATCGACGAGGAATGGGTTTCCGAATCGTGTCAGGGCACCAAAGTTGAGGATGAGCGCGTCATTAGTGAAGTCAAGACGGGCTAGCATGGCGTCGTCTGCCGTAGCGTCGGTGGTTGTGGGGAGTTGGCCCACAGACATCTCAGATGGTGTCATGGATGTTGGGCGAATCACGCCATCGAACCGTGGTGGAGGCGGTAGCGGTGAGAAAGCATTAGTCCGTGGCGTTGTTGGGGAAAGGACGTATGGATTCAGGACGGTGATAGCAGCGGGCTTTCGTGCTATGTTTTGTGCGGTCATGGGCATGTTGTGTCCGTAGAAAGCTGTTACAGGTCGTGTCGACGGCATGTTGATGACAGAACAATCGCCCTCAATGGATATGGGGAAATTACCAAGCGTTGGGTGGTGCAGCTGGTATGAACCTTCTGATGGTATGTGCTGAGCCCAAGGATTTGCCTGCTGTTGTGGGTGATCCCTTGTCCATGCAAGTGCACAGCATTCACGCTGGGCACTTTCCGCAAGGACGCCTTCAGCCAATCTTTGTGCAGCCGGTGATTGGGCACCGGGATCAGACAACGCAAGGTGAGAAGCGGACGGCGAATTAGCCGCAGCATCAAGTGCTTGGAGAGCAGCGAGTTTGGGATATATACTAGTAAGGAGGGTTGTATCTTCTTGTTGAGCAGGATTGAATGTTCCGTTATCCAGTGAAGGTGGTGCAATCAGATCGAGCTGAGCGATGGGTAAAACTCGCGGCTGAGTAGGATGGTGCCTCTGGATTAGGACCTCATTCATGATACTCGGTATTTCGTGGTTACCAGCAAGGTTCGATTGTGCCATGGAATAGAATGGGAGAGAAGGAGTTGTTCCAAAAGTAATCGTAGGATTCGCTGCTGTTGCTCGGTGCATTCTCAATGTATAGATCTGCACGTCTGGCTCTTCCTGACCATTGGTTGCTAACCACATGTTGTCCAGCAGATTTGAAGGAGTGAAGAAAGGCTTTGGTGGTGGGTGAGGTATCGAACTGCTTGTGTGGACATTGCTGTGTGGAACATACGATTCGGACGAGTATGGCGATCGGCTGATTTGCGTCCGTGGGATCTGAGTTGTCGGTGATGCTTGAGTGGGTTGGTACGGTTGCCGTGAAAGAGGAACAGTAGGATCGTAGACTGGGAACATCGATCGCATTGGTATCTCTTCTTGAGGTGATGCGCATCGTACTCTTGTAGCAGAGCTATTCGCTCGTACTAGGGTCTGGGCTTCCGAGAACGCAGGAGAGACTGCACGGTTTAGATCTGGGCTGGCTGTATATTGAATGTCGTCAATGTAGTTGTTCTGTGGGGGCGATATTGGTGAAACAATGCGGGCATCTTGTTGGCGATAGAAACTTTCTTGCCGGTCCATTTGTAACGAAGGAGTTCTTCTTTGTGAAGGCGATTCGAAGTGTGGTCTGCTAGCGGGAGTAGGTATTCTTGGGGCTTGAGAGTTTGGCAAATGTGCCTGGGGTGGAGCTGGGATTGATCGCGGGGGTGCCATTTGGATAGACGGAGAGGCTGGCGGTGGGTTGACCTGAATGACGAATTCGTGGAAGTCGTTTGGAGGCTGTGCTGCCTTTGCACTCTCTGTTGATGGGGTTTCTGGAACAGAGCTTTTTACAACAGGCGACGGCTTATTGTTTGGACTCGGTTGTCTTGGAGCACGGGGTGGAGGGAAGAGTTGAAATGCGGGTCCTGCCATGATGAATGTCCAGCACTCTACTTTTTAAGAAAATGAATTGGCTCAAAATGACTGGCGAGACTAAACGGAACAGGTGCTGGCTGTGTAGGGAAACAAAGGCTCGTCACAGGCAGAGTACAACTAGACGTGTCGGGTAATCTGGGGATAACGACTATAAGACGAAACACACAGCGACGCCTTGTGAGCCAGCACAAAGGCCATAGGAATGCATCTAGGGCAATAGCGGTAGACTGACATTTCCCATGCAGAAAACTACCCCATGCAGCGAGGAGGTTGTCAGACGGGCCCAATCAAGAGGTGTGTAAGGCTCGGCGCTACTCATCAGTTGATGAGCGGCGGTTATATTTTGGGTGGTTGGCTGATTGTTGCTGCTAAGCGCCAACGCTTTCCACTCGCTACACCCCCTACCACCCTAGCTCGAGATCTTACCATGGCTACATGACACTATGATTGGCTGTTGACGTGTGCCCACCCTGCGTAGTATGGGTAGCCTATGCAGGTGACAAGAGGCCAGTCCGGCGGCCCGCTGCAAGGCAGGGATCTATTTCGAGCTCTTGATTGCCTGCCAACGGCACTTTGGCTGTCCTTGGCCGAATGCGGAGAGACATACTGTGGGCGTGTATGTATGTATGTATGTGCTGGCCTGCTTGCTTTTCAGACGTGTAAAGGATTTGAGGAAAGTAGCCCGGTACATGCAGATTCACACGTAAATTCTCAACGCGACAGTATCTGCAGTACGGACGGACGACAGCCATGGGAGCTGCAAACAGTACTGAGACGGTACAAGCTCTTCGTGGTGGGCGGCAAGGCGAGCAAGCCCATGTGCATCGTCGGAGAGCACGCAGCCGCCCTAACATGTGGCCGGGTTGGACCAAGACACAATGGCGGAGCTTATCGCAAAATCCCGCAGAGAGTACCTGTCTCTGGACAACTGATCATCATATGTGGAGTTGCACATTGGTGAATGCAGCGCTTGGCTTTTGGGGTAGTTTGTGACGGCACCTTGCCCGTGCAGTCCGCAAACGGGCCGGGTAGTTTGCTGCTAGCATCCAAGACACTACAAATTAGAGTTTAGTAACAGAATCAGGTCATTTCTGGTTAAGAATAGGTCGGGGCAATATGGGATTAGATGAATGCACATGCGACTGATGACACGTGAGGGGTGAGGGAGAGAAGGGGAGAGTGCAAGGCGTGCGCTAGTGCCTATCGATAACTTTAATCTGTGTCTAAGCGAGAAAAAGTTGGGTGTTCGTCATCGCTCACGACAGCAGAGAAAAGCCACAGTCACAGTCAAGATGCCGTCAGAATTAGAAGAGGTGAGTAAAGGTCGCACGTGGACTCGGCTCGTATCTATTCTAACACGTCTTGTCCAGCTAGTCGAGTTCCTGCACCACGGCAACACGCAGATCAGACAGACTGGTCAGAGCAGCCCCTCCACCCCGCCACGAGACGCTGCTTACACCATGCAGCGGCCGAACATCTTGTCGGATACTCGCAATCAAACCCGACCCTCTGGAAACGTAATCAACTAGAACCCATCAAGGATCTCAAGCTCCTTGTCAAGGATTATGCGCCCATCGCGAAGAATGCCCTGACCATCCTCATCAACGTCTCCGCCGACGCAGAAGTCCAAAAGGCACTTGCAAAGGATGACGAGTTTCTTGAGACACTACTGTCGCGGATAACCGTATGTCAGTTCCCCGTCCAGACAGCGCAGACCCTAGTCACTGACTTGTTGCAGAACGCCAAAGAACAGAATGCGAACGAAATCGCCATGCTACTCGCCAACATGGCCAAGGACGACTCTCTACAAAGGGTGCTGGAATTGAAGCGCGATGTCTCAAAGGAGTTATCCAAATCTGCTTGGGCAATGGACCAGCTTATGGACTGCTTTGTCAAGGGTGCACAGGGCGCATACAACAAGAACGCAGACTTCGACTACCTGTCATACTTCTTCGCCGACTTGGCTAAGTTCCCCAAGGGGCGCGAGTACCTCACCTCGCCCCAAGAGCATGATGACAACGTCATTCCTATCACCAAGATCCAGGTGTTCACAGATCATGTCTCACATATCCGACGCCTCGGTGTCGCCTCGACAATCAAGAACATCGCATTCCTCGTACCAGCGCATCCAGTCCTACTATCGAACCTATCGCTCGATCCAAACCTTCCGCCGCCTTCGATAGGCGCGAACCTCCTACCATACATCCTCCTGCCACTCATGGGACCAGAGGAGTATGCAGACGAAGACACAGAGGGTATGCTCGACGAATTACAGCTGCTAGAGCCCGACAAGGAGCGAGAAAAAGATAACCAAATCATCAAGACACATTTGGAGACACTGCTATTGCTGAGTACCACCAAAGAAAGCAGAGAAGTCCTCAGGCGTGTCAAGGTGTACCCCATCGTTCGGGAGTGTCACTTGCACGTAGACGACGAGGAAGTACGCGAGGCATGCGACCGCGTAGTTCAAGTGATTATGCGTAAAGAGGAGGGTGAAGAGGAGGATATACCAGACATGGCCAGCGCTGGTGGTAGTGGGAAGATGATAGAAATGGGTAACGCGGAAGAAGACGAGGACGAGCAAATTATCGATATTGCCTAGGCGTATGATGACAAGTAGAATACCAAAAAGGCACCATATTCCTACTGATCATGTCCTCTTGTGTCGACACGGTGCCTTAGCGTCCTCTATCTGATTGGCGGCGATACCGGCTATCGCAACAACGGTCTTTTAAACTCCGACTCTTGATAGATACAAATAAGTGCTCGTGCTCGCTGAAGCCAAAGTCCGACGCGGTGCCGGAGGATTCCGTCATTGATTAACGGTGCATTAGTAACCCGCGAATTGCTTTCGGAAGTTTTCCGCTTTGATATCTTCTTTCTGTTTCATCACATTTCGCCTATTAGTACCTCTAATTCGCGCATACAGGATAAGCAAGAGCTGTGGCATGTGCGCCAAAATAAGCTCATCATTGGGTAAATCACCGAACCAACAGAGCGAGGCGGGGAACATAGCACCGTCGGCCAATGGAGTTGGCGCAGGTCAGACAATGCCGGCGACATCAAACTCTACGTCTCGGGCAAGCGATGGTGTGGGCACAATGAAAGGAGATGCTGTTGAAAATGGAAAAGAGGAGTTGAGAGTATCGCCATGGAGAAGAGCCTGGGAGATCCTCAATTGGGCGCCGCCGCATTGCCGTTGGGATCCTAAGAAGCCGCCGCAATTTTCTATGAGCAGTACGTTGTTTTTTCTGTGTTCATGCACGACCGTTAGTCTATCTTTTTTCTTTTCTTGAACTCTCACTCAAACGGCATAAGAGTCAAAAAGTGTTATGTTGCAAATTGGAACATACCTTCTTACCTACTATGACCACACTCTGACAAAACAGCAGTGAACGTTCTTTTTGCCTTTGCCGCTGGCTTCACAGTCGCAAATCTCTACTACAACCATCCTATTCTCAATCTTCTTGCTAGAGACTTCGGTGTGCGGTATGAACAGGTAGCACAGATTCCCACAGTCATGCAGGCAGGGTACGCAACTGGACTGTTATTCCTATGTCCATTAGGAGACTTGCTTCCAAGAAGACCTTTTGTATGCAGTTTAGTAGCATTCACAGCAACATTGTGGTACATCTATGACCCTACTTTCCTTATGTCACCTAAAGTTAATTAATGACAACTATCCAGGTTAATACTCTGCCTAACAAACGACTTGGGAACCTTCACCGCAATATCCTTCATTGTAGCCATCACAACCGTAACCCCTCAACTCATGCTCCCACTCGTCGGTGACCTCGCACCGCCCTCCCGCCGCGCTGCTGCCCTCTCAATCGTTGTATCTGGCCTAATGCTCGGCGTGCTCGTCGCCCGCGTACTCTCCGGTACCATATCGAACTACACCACCTGGCGCGCAGTCTACTGGATGGCCCTCGCCCTGCAATACACAATCTTCGTCTTGCTTTGGCTCTTCATGCCAGACTACCCCGCTACAAACCGCGGAATGAACTATTTCCGCATCCTATTCGACATTGTAAAGATGCCACGCAAGCACCCCGTCCTCGTGCAAGCTTGCCTCACGGGCCTCTTTACCAGCGCACCCTTTACATCTTTCTGGACAACGCTAACGTTTCTACTCGCCGGCGAACCTTTTCACTACTCTTCCCTCATAATCGGTCTCTTCGGCCTCATCGGCATAGCCGGCATGCTCATCTCCCCCATTTACGCACACACAGTCACCGATCGCTTCGTCCCGCACTTTTCCGTCTTCTTCGGTCTCTCGTGCTCGCTCATAGGCGTGTGCCTAGGTACCTACATCGGCACATTTACCGTTGCAGGCCCCGTGCTGCAGGCTCTCCTCATGGACTTCGGGAATCAGACCGCACAGATTGCGAACCGCTCGGCCATCTACAGTGTAGAGCCAAAGCGCCGGAATGGCGTTAATACGGCGTTTATGGTTGCGACGTTTTGTGGGCAGTTAATCGGGACTGCCGCGGGGAATCACGTCTATGCGGCTACGGGGTGGATTGGGAGTGGGAGTTTGAGTGTCGGGTTTGTGTGCGCTGCTATATGTGTTATGTTGGCCAGGGGGCCGTGGGAAGACGGGTGGGTGGGGTGGAGTGGCGGGTGGAGTATGAGGAAGAAGGATATGGATAGTGCGGATGGGAAGACGAAGGATAAGGCGTTGCATGGGCCGGTAGAGGCAGAGGAGAGAAAAACAAGGGCAAACGAAAAGGTGGTTGATGAGCTTGCTGCTGAGGAAGGGAGGGGAAATACTACGTCAGAAGCGGGTGTGAGTACAGAGGACGAGGAGATA